CAGGTACCGGCCCACCCCCACCAAGAGCGATACAAACACATTACAAGCAGTCAGTAGCCAGTATAACAAAACAATCCCCTTTATACATTTTCCACCGACAGCAAACACCAGCACTGGGAACACACATTGGATATAAGGAATAATCCATCCCCACCACGCAAGCAAATGGGCCAGCATTGCAAACATTTTCTTATCAAACAGTACAAATACAAACAGAAAAAACTGCACCCAACAGATTTCTCCAACATACTCTGGTCAGGGTCTGTCCCTTTTTGAGCCTTATTTCAACCCTCTCGTGACCCATGTTGACGCACCAAAGAGGCTGTGCTGGTTTAAGCCCTGCCAGGACCAGAGACCACGTTGTCGTTGTCCCTCCCCTACCCTCAGACTGAGTAGGGCACAAACCCCGGGGTCAAAACAAGGAGAAATTTAAGACAACAGGGTGTTAAACAATCTGAACAACAATAGCAATAATAACAACAATAAACAGCAATGACAGTAAACAAGACAAAAGATATACAGAGAAATATCGCACTGAACATACCCAGCCCACTGTACGTGCTTCCTGCAACAAAAGTGTCCTGGTTCAACTAGGATAGGGTCAAATTTTCCCCAGCAAAGAGAGAGGGGGAAGGGATCTCCAGCCGTGTTATTCATACCATGCTGACGTCAGGTCCAGGGATGGAGCCCTTTTACTTTTGCTTTTGGTTTTGGGGGTTGCAACACACACGGCGGGCTTGTTCCCTGACCATTTTGAGGTATTTCTCTGTATATCTTTTGTCTTGTTCACTGTTATTGCTGTTTATTGTTGTTATCATTGCCACTGCTGCTATTCAGATTGTTTTATCACACTGTTGTATTAAATTTCTTATTATTTTAGCTGGGGTCTGTGTTTAACTTCCAGCCCGACCAGCTGCGTGTGGGGGAAGGGCAACAGCAACGTGCTCTCAGGTCCCACCAGGGGTTAAACCTGCACAAAAAGCCACAAAGGAAAGCTTCCCACGCTGCTGTGCTGGAGGTGACTTCAGCATATTATGAATAACCCGGCTGGAGATCCCTTCCCCCTGCTGGGGAAACTTAACCCTATCCTAGCTGAGCCAGGACAATGACATTTTCTGTTTCACTCCATTCTGGTCCTAGAGGCTTTACTTTCTACTTCATTCTCTCATTTGAATCTCTATATTTAGTACAACTAAGAATTTCTGGATTGCCTTTCTCCTAACCATGTATATTATGTAATTATGCTTGCATATCTGTGACCTTTCTATGGCTTGTTACATTTTTATGTCTTTTAATCTCTCTCTCTCTTTGCTAGATTCCTAGGTTGACAAATCAATTGTCTTTTTCAGAGTTATGTTCAATGATATGTGCAAGATTTGATTGAAAAAAGTCTTCTATAGTTTTGCAGTAAGATTCAATGCCAGAAATAAGTGAATGCTACACTTTCCTTGTCCTTCAAAATGCAATTGGAAAATTGTATGAAACTCCTCCCTTACACTTGGAAGCTCACAAAGAGGTGGTTTCATTTTCATGTCGATGAACTTTAGGAATAATACTCTGACCAATCATTAAGTAACAGAGACACTCTGGGTTCAAGTTACTCAGTTGCCAAAATACTTTCTCCTTTCCATCACACACAACAGAAGAGATTAGATGAGGACAGATGCTGTTGTGGTTTAAATGGTCACCTTTGCAGACCTTATATTAAGGGTTTTACCATGCACATAAATTCTTTTATTACAGATAAATGCACCAAAATTTTATTTAAATATCTCTAATATTGCATACCCATTGCACAACTTGTATCTTATTTGAAGTTAAATTTAATCATGGCAAATGAATCTGGATAAAACACTTCTCACTAGCTTTGTAGCTTCACACAGTCTATGTAATATACTTTTCTGGAATTTCCTCGTGGACAAACCTGAAGAAGTAGGCTAAAAATCGTAGACTACCAAGCATGGTTTTCTGTTTTCTTTTTTTTAGTAGATTTTTATGGAGAAATTAAAGGAATTCAAGAAAACAAACAAACAAAAGGTTAAAACATGCATGAAGATCTTACTTCAGCAAGTGCCTGAAGAAAACACACAATATCCTAGCACAAAAAGCACATGTTAATTTTGCAGTCAAACCTCCTGAATAATAAAAGCCATAGAACTTGACCAAATAATTGTAGTGAGATATTATATAACTTATATAATGTAGTTTCTGCAAAGTCCTGAATATTGTGGAAGAAAGTAGCAGAAAACAGAGGACAACTCTGAACCCTTCCCATCTTGAAACAAACTCAGTTCCCACCTACTCTCCTCCTCATGTGATCTTTCCTCTGTGAGAGATGGAAGCCCTGTCAGATGAGAATCGAACCACAATTTAGTGAGTGAGGTAGCAAATAAGGAAAAAAGACTAAATCCCTGTCATTTTCTGTTGCTATGAACCTTCTCTTCAAGACTGCATCAGACGTGATGCAGAATACACCAGATAGGGCCCTTGTGAGAATAAAGGAATTGAATACTGCAAAGTGGTGCAATGGGAGCCATATATAAATACTAAGATAAATACAGATTTGATAAATTACTAGCAAAGGCACTGGAGGGAACAATACAAGATGATGCAGTCAGTCTTTTTCAGCTCTAACTCTCATGACCCTTAGAAAAGGCATGTCTTTCCAGAACTCTGCACCCGAGACAAGATGTTTTAGTCATTTTATAAATAATTACCCCTTGAGACCTCTCAGATTCTAGGATAATAAAATGTAGCTGCAGATCTTCAAGTGTACTGATGTCCATTTCTGAATACAAAAACATACAGTATGTCCACATTTTTTAGCTCTGATTGCCAGTGCTAATGTGTGTAAATGTAATGAGAAAGCATGCTATCTGTACAAACTCACCTTACAAACTTACCTCATGCCCAGCACTGCAAGGGTTTACTTCTAAGGCTTCCAGCATGATGGAAGGAGAGACATGCAAGCCTTTCAGATTTGTATCAAAGACAGCTCCTATAGCCCCGAGGATTTGTCGAGCTGCCTGTGCTGAGCAGCCATACTTTAGCTCTATGCATACTAGCACCTAAAATCTGAATTAAAATAAAAGATCTGAGGCAACTAGTGAATGGACAAGGGTAATTTTTGCTCCTGACATCCTTGTTTCTCAGAGCGGTTAAGCAAGGGGATAATTTGCTGCAGAGGAAGTATAGTAAAGAAAATATATTTTTACAAGAGTATGTTTATTAAGGAATACCTCTATAAGGATGCATAAATGCATGCACTCTCTGAGAAAATGCCATGTTATATGAGTTCTCACAATGGTTCGTATTCACTTCTTGTTACTTAGCGCCTTCTAAAAAGTCTTTTTTGTATCTTCTACAAGATGTTTTGTCTTGCATCACTTTGCCTGACAGAAATATTGCTTACACTAAAATCCTTAATGTGAGATGCCCTATAAAGAAGTTATTTCATTTAATAACATTCATTGTATTAGTTCCCCCTAAAGTAATCACTTTGATGAGAACACACTCTGTGTTCATTTATTTGATCTGGGAATAAAATTATCTTGTCTTTATTTCTGTATCTCCTTCTTATTTTTTCTAGAATAAATAAACATGAAGCTGTCACTACAGAGCAGGCACAGCCTCTCCCTGTTACAAACCTTTTCATTTCTGCATTGAGAGAATTTTTCTGCACAATGATCCTTTTAGGATACACTTGAAGCACTACATTTTCTTGCTTTCATATGTAGATACATGAGTAGTGACAGAGAGTTTCTGCTGTCCCAGTAGATTATATGTCCTATCAAGTTTTCTGTCCTTCTCATAGAACTGATCAGATTATTTATCATGAAGAAATTGTTTAATGTATCAGGCACTAAATTTAGTATAATGGTTATTACAGAAACCAAAGCCACCAGCTGTAAGATTTGAGCCCTCTTTTACCAGTAAAACATAGTGCAGCCCTCTGTTCCATAAAGTCTTAAAGAGCTTGACTTAGGCACTATTCACCTACACAGCCATCACTAGCTGCTAAACCCTTGCTATGTAGCCAGGCCCTCAGAGTCATCTCCTATACTTTGGTGAAGACACAACTCCAGCTCTTCTGTAAGTCTTTGTAAGATAGAGGCCTCCTTGCAAAATATTTCTGGTATGAGCTTTTTTTTTTTGAAGTGAGAAGCAATTGAGGTATATATTACTTTCATTAAGTAAAGGTTTGGGTAATTAAACTTTTCAAGCATTTGGGTTAATCAGGTGCTGGGGGATGTTAATGTTTATGATTGCACACTGTTTTTTCAGGCCAAAGAAACAGCCATTGTAGACAGCCTTAGGCCACACATAACTTCCACAAGTGCTTTCAGTGTAGAAGGAAGGTAGGCTGGAGAATAATGCTGACAACTTACATTACTATATATTTTTATTATTATTATTTGGAGGATCAAACCACAAAACTATTCATGCTAAATCTTGTTACCTCCTCCAGACAGTTATGCTACCGTCTATCACATTCACCAAGGGACTGCAACATCCACTGCGTAAATATTGGAGATTCTGTCCTAGAATGCAATGGCTTCTTGGCAGTACTAACCAAAAGGCCACAAGCCGAAAAGAAAAAAAAAATATCCAAAACTGTGGAAGAAATGTGTCTGTCATGGATAGATTATTGTTATCTATTCTAGAGCATAGTAATATCACTGTGAATCCCAGCTCAGTATTACATCCACTTGCCTCCATGTCTCTTTAAGTGTGGACTTTCAAAAAAGTTGTAAACATGGATTACTGCTTGTGTACTATATACAAGTTCTCTGTTAGAAAAATACACATTCCTGGGTTTATTTACTACACAAGAATCTATCAAATCACGAGATATAAATGTTGTATGCTTTTAATTCATCAGGAACATGAGTAAGAAACACCAATCTGCATGGCTTCTGAAAGGTTTCTTTCAGAAGGTTTTCTTCAAAGCACCACCAGGGTTTCTGGGAATGTATTTAAATGAAATATTATCTGCAGGTTTACTTCTAGCTTAGAAGACACCAAGATCCTTTTTGCAATGTGTTATGTTGGTGACTGGATAGTTCCAGGGGTTAATGAGAAGATATAAAATCACAGTGAACCCAGTGACCATCTCAACTCTAATTCAAGTAAGTATTGTTCATTGGATATTTAATCTGATATCTAACCAAAGTAGGTGTTGTTCATTTAGTCTTTAATCTGGTAATTGATAAATGCATCTGAGAAATTAGTTGACTGTGTCATTGCAATTTGCCAGACAGCTGTAAGAAATCATATTCCAAACTGATGTATTTATTTGGTAACACCTGTGAAGAAGGTAGCAACTCAACAGGAGCAGAAATATTGTCATTAGTCAAAGGACTGGCACACTCGAAGGAAGAGAATAAATACACTGGGGGGTTTTCTGGTTTCCTTGCTTAAAGAACAGCACTTCTTTGTTCAAATAACATCTGAGAGCTTAGTTAAGCAGTGGAAAGGAGGTGGCTTTACGGAGTAAAGAGAAATACAGATGCTAGACATATTCAGAGAAGATGGAAATGCATTTATCACCCATGTACAGAGCACCTGAGGCCAATTTCAAGATCTGGGAAAAATAAAATACCAGAGCCTCTAACACATCTGCCTCCCCCCAGCTGTCGAGGAATACAGAGCAACTGTGAGGTTAAAAATTAAGTGGGCCCTAAGATCAGGTTTTTCATTCATCGTAAGGAGAACATTTGATTTTATTTACTTCTGGCTGATTTTCATCATTGTTGAGATGATCACTGTCAGGAAACGGTCAAGCACTCTTCTCACCCCATGTTTATTTCAGCTTGAATCTTTTGTTACCATAATTCAGAGACCTGTATGTCTACCCCCTTGTTAAAACTGGAAAAAGGAGGGTTCACGACTCAACATGTTTCTTCAGTGCCTTAAGAGACTTTCAGGACCGTGTCCTGTGCACTGCCAGGAGGGGTAGACTCTCTGCCCTGAGATCTGCTGCCTGAGCCTCAGTCACTGTCTCTAGAGGCCACCGAAGCCAGCCCCCACAGCCCCATACCGCACTGCCCCAAAGGGTGGCTTTGCCCTGGCTGCAAACTTCCCAAGGACTGAAAGTACAGCTAAGTGTTAACAGCTCTCTTAAGCTTGTTATCCCCAAATCATCCAAGTTTCATGAGGGGAGGGCTTTCTTTTTTTTCCCTCAATTCCCTTTTAGTTAGACAAATTGTGAGTTAATATAAACAAAGAGCAAGTAGTCTGCATCCTATAAAAGCAAGCATTATAGATTATGAGCTGAGGGACAGGGCTCAATAGACAGCAATTGAACAGCCAGTCAGAATCATCAACTAAATTTTTCTTTACTTACTTTAGGGTTTTTAGTGCCCTCTGGAAGGACATCAACAAGATTTAGACACAAGCATATCACTACTGTAATGAACACTGACCAAAAAATTGAGAAACTGGAACTGGAAATGCATTTGCAATACTCCTTCTTTGGGAATTACTACCATAATTACACCAGTTTAGAAAGCAATACCTTTGTAAGTGTTTTTACCCCATAATATATCACACTAGGGATTATAGCATTTTAATGGTGTCTAAATTGTACAGTTTCTATAATAGTATGAAATCTATGAGAATTTTTGGCCCCAATGAGGCCACTGAAAATCTCCTACTGACTTTGTTGGAGCCAGAAAAATCCATCCTAATTTTCCAGGTTTGACCAGCTCCAGTCACAAAAGGGGCTTATATTTTCCTCATACTCTTAACATATGAGTGAACAGATACTTTTCATATATGTATACTACAAATGCCCTCCATTTTATTTCATAAAAAATGTTATGACATGGAATACACTGTTTCTTCATGAAACATTCACCTTTTAATACCAGTTACTTAAAGGGTGATATATACATCCCTATTTCTTCTGTCACCAAATAAAATGAAATTCATAGACCTGCTCTTAGCTAACATGATACATGGTTTATGGTTAAATAAGGTCTTGAAAATGAAAATCTTCTGCCCTTCTCATAAGATATATAGATCCAAATTAAACAAGCAAGTTACATTAAGGTACCTGCAAACCTTGAAAAGGGTGTATTGGCTTGTTCATTCTTCCTATTGGTAATAAAGTTACCCATCAAGCATCTTCTAGAGAGTAAGCCAAGGAAAGCAAATGTCGCCCTGCCTTAGCTTCCTTTATATGTTTTCAGTTTTCTGAAATTGGGCATATTTTCTGGAGATAGGACTATAAGAGACTGATAGATACCTTAGGATCAGTTTGCACATGAAAATATAATAATTGATCCCTGGTCACTCCATGAACCACCACTTAGTGTGTTGTACAATTTCAGAAGTAAATCAGAATAACTGTTGGAAAATAAAAGGAGGTAAAAAAGCTCACTTTCCTGCAGCTTTAGAAAATATATGTTGTGTTAGAAAAGGTGTTAACTGACAACATGTTTTAACTGACATGGCGATAAATATGATGAAGCACCAACGTTTTCTCCAGTGTGCAAACTGCCTTTGCAAGAGCCTGGAGAGATTCCTGCTGGTCTCTGCAGGATTTGGCTTGAGCTCTTCTGCAGGTATTAGTTTATGCCGGTGGAAGTAAACAGGCCCTTGGGGATGGTGCTGCTGCCACTGAGGTATTTATTTTTATAATAACTTGTTGGCTGGTGCAGAGATGGGAAGTCACAACCACAGCTCCTGCATACAAAACTCCACACCATTCATCCTTACCAGTTAGAGCCCTTTGCAAGGACAGAGATGGAAAGAGCCATAAACTTGGGGGCCTGGCTACCAAATACTACCTGCACCCTGATGGCCACTTGCCATGCTTCTGAGACCAGCTTCTCTCCCAGTGCTCTGCAGTGCCTGCTGGTGCCTCCCAACAGGCAAAGCTGAATCCTTGGACCATGGGGTAACATAGGTTGAGGGCATCAGGAGATCACAGCATTTTACTGACTCAAAACAGAGCCAATAAAATGCACTTCTTATGAAGGAGCCTACCCACGTACAATTTCCAGTGGTTGTTCGCACCATGTTATCATCAAACAATCCTTTCTCTAGCTTGGCTCCTAGGCACCTCCCGGCTAACAGAGCCCAGCACCATTTGAGGAGCTCTCCTTCTAGCCTCCAAAATTGTCACCAAATTTCTCTGTTCTTACTTTCAAATCAGGTAGAAAATAGGAGTAAATCACAAATCTGTATCCACCACTTGAAGGAAGATAGGGTAGATTGGTCAGTGACCACATTTCATTCGTCAAAGAAGAAATTAGGTTATTCTCCTTCCCTTGCCAGACTCTGGCACTTGAAGAAAACTAAAATTAAAGTAAGGCTGAAAGGGCCCTTGATAATGACACAGCATTTTCTCATTATATGCTCTCTTTTATCAGCACTTACAGACATCTGAGCATGGAGTGGAACCCTGTAGAATTGTCTGGTTTTCACATTTTTAAGAACTGTTTTCTCACTTATTTCCTGTTTTCTTACCAGCAGGCCCAACCACATCCAGAACCTAGATAATAGTTGTGTTGGTATCTCTGACAGCTTTGTTTAAACTCCCTTTTCTACTCTTCAAACAAGCTTGGAGCTCCACTTATTCCCCTTCTATTACGTAACTTAAGCAAAACTTGACTTGAGGCCAACAATATCGAAAAAAGGAGACAGAAAGCTTGGGCAGAATAGGAAACAGGTAATTCTGTTGCTGTTGAAAGTACTGGAACATAGACTTAGCAATTTCTAATAACTTTCCCCAGCTGCCAGTTACTTGTTCAAAATGAAACACATATACTGCAGGGGGAAGAAAACTGATATGTTTCTAAGTTAACAGAAATGTTGTCAAACATCTGTGTGCCACTTGGTAGCCTTAACCAAATTTTTTCCCTCCTCCCAGCTGTTGCTTGCCTTGCTATGCATCCATTGGTGGACAACTCCACTCCAACGGTGGTTGCATTTCAGTGGTTTTGCACCTATAGCATGATGCCAGAATCTGTAGGCTTCACTTCATTTTCACTGAGTCCAGACTCCCATTAGATTTCACCTGGGGAAGCAGTCAAAGTGACCAAGAGCCTCAAGACACGGTTCGGAGCATCAGAGTCCTCTGGGATCCAGCAGGAACCGACCCTCTCCTGCAGTATGTAGCCTCCATGGAAAATCACGCTCCCCCTGAATATCCACCCAGCCGAACAGGAAAACCTGTGTTAGTGTTGGAGAGCCGTAACACCTTCATGATTTGTGAACAGAGAACATCAAAGGCCACTGAATCTCAGAGTCCTAGCTCCCTCTCCTGGCAGAGCACCGCAGTGGTAATAGAAACGGGGGCTGTACAGGGTGCTCCCCCCGGCACAAGCAAGCCTGAACTCCAAGCTGCAGCTCCGCAAAGGGAGGTGGAGAGGAACCGTGCCCCCAGTGAGCAGTGGCTCCTCTCCGCAAGGAGCACAGTGGTAATAATGCAGACACAGCTCTACCCGCAGATTAATACAGGATTAGCAAAGGCAAAATCTATTCTAGTGAAGAACATCTACAACAAAGCTTTAGCTGCATAAAAAATATGTACTTGAGCACAGATAAAACTTCATTGCTGCACATTATTTGCAGTCGGGGTAGTGCAATTTATTCTCTAATACTTTGATGCCAGACTGACTGATGCAACTGTGCCATGATTCCTCTCCAACACCACAGCCTTCCTGTTTGCTGTTTTCTGTAAACACCGAGCCTACAGAGTCCTTCCCCAGACTGTAACTTACTCCTTGAGAAACACACATCTCTCTGACTAGATATGAACCTGTCACCGCATAGGGTAATGTATAACACAGGGGCTCTCACTAGTAGCTTCCAGCCCTTCAGAAACATATGTTGCTTTTCCCTATGTGAAGGCAAAGTTTATTGACCCTACATCCCAAGAAGCATCCACAGCATCTGTTTAGTGAAACACCTACTGGCACCAGGTCTTTGGGTGTGACATCTGTGGCAGCACCAGAGGTGGAAGCATGATACCTGCCACCTTGACCTAAAGCTGAGCCAGGGTCCTTCTCAGCCAGCAGCACAGGCCTCTACCTCTGAAGAAAATGAGCTGGCTCTTAAAGCAGCAAAAGGCATCAGGGGGTCACCAAGCAGACAAACGACAGAGAAGACCCAACCTGCAGGTGCTCTGCTGGCACAGCCCCACAGCACTGCAGCCCTTCCAGGCTCAGCACCAGCATGGTGCGGTGGGCGCCCAACTCATCACTGCTCCTGCTCATGCAGTTTGGCTGTCTCAGCCATTGGCCATTAGCAGCTTGGGTTGGGTACATCAACAGTTTAGTTTTGTAGCATTTTTTTTCAGTTATTCTGTATTTCCACACCAAGGATGGCTGAAGTCAAACAAAAGTATTCCTAGCAAGTGGGTGAGCTTGGACTGCTGGGGGTGGGGCCTGTTAGCATCAGACCTTCTCTATTCCTGCTCTTTCTGTGGAGAAAGTAGGAACGGGGTTTCCTGTACAAGTCAAACAACAGCTCTCTGAGCTGTTTACAGTGGTCTTTTTTAGAGGATTATTTAAGGGCTTCTTCAATTTTTGGCAATGAGTTTATAGATCTTGTTTATGAGGGGCAGGAGGCAGCTCACAGATGTGCATGCTGGTTTCCATTGTGGTTGTGTTTTCTCCTAGGTTTCACAACAGCACAATTTTCCCAAGGCAATGGTCTTCTGCAGGTCAGTGACTTGCTTCAGGAGTCCCCCTCACTCTCCAGCACCAGCTACAGCTCCTGCTTAAATGTTAAGGCCTTTAAGTATGTTCTTACAGGTCCATAAAGCAAAGCTAAAATTTCACAGAAGGCATTTAGTCAAGCCAAGGCTGTGGGTCATAAAACATCTCATTATAAGTTAACCATCGTGGTTGTAGGAGACTTTCTGTATATTAGTCAGAATTTAAATTATTGTTTCTTCCTCAGGGAGAGAAAATGAGATATTGAAGAAGAGAGTGAAAGGCAAAGGGGCAAGTATGCTTCTGAATATTGCAAAGATCTCTAAACTTCACTAATTTTACCAGCACATTCAACGATTTCATATTAGGTATCGTAAGCAACTTATCTTTGTATTATTATAATGCAAAATTTTCTTAAAGAAACAAAGGTCACTCTCTTCCAAATGCTCATGCATTTCCTTAGTCAGCCCTTATTCCTGCACTCATCATCAGGCTTTGGTTCTATGCTGTCCTTCCTGCAAAGTGTTAGGTTATCAGTTGCTCAAAACTGACTTCAGTTAAAGATACTGTAAGTAAACTTAAGACTCTTTGTGACCTGAAAACCAGTGGTTTCCTCTTCTTCCTTTACCTCTCTTCAGTATTTTGTCCCTATCAGTTATTATGTTCCTGTGATAAAAACAAAGCTCAAAATTAATGTACTATATTCTGGAATATGTTTCACAACCAGTCATTAAATGTTGGTGCTTACTCATAGCTTACATAGTATTATTAATATTAACTGATTATATCTAGTTATGTCTGTTTAGTCTGTTTTTCAGACTAAGGATATATTTTCAGACATCTAAATATGCTCATGATTTTTCTCATAACATTATCTTTTAATACTATATCTACTTTTCTCAGCTTTGTACATGTTTTCTTAATGTATAGAAAGAATATTTACATACTTCAAATTCTGCTTCCCCACAGTTCAGGATTTGGCCCCTTGTCTGATAGTCCACCTTGCAACATGGCTAGCATTGAAAGAAAGGGATGTTACACCTAATGCTCTTTTTCATTTATTTATTTTCATCTGCTCTTCAACCAGGGTAGGTAAGCAGCTTTAAATCTGAGAGATAGTTTGTGGTCTCAAAGACAGAGAAAGGGAAGATGAGTCAGTAAGAACAAAAGTTTCCAACACTGAAGAGCACTGCATGAAGTGGTGGTGTCAGACCTTCTGACCAGCAGCAATTCTAGCCCAAGTTCCTCCTCTGAACCTGAAAGTCTGCATTTCTTGAATCCAGAGGCCCAGTGCAGTTCTCACCACCATTACTCATGTAAGGAGCCCTCTTCACATTGCTGACTACACACGTGGTTTATGTCAATGCAAGGTGGCCAATACCTGTTTTGTAGCCATGAGAACAGCAAGTAGTCAGTTCAGTAAACTTTGTAACTGATCACAAAGGAATGTGGGAAAGTTCTCTGTCAGTCAGAGTCCTTAAATCAAAACCATCCATCTCTCAGAAAGGAACAGTCTGATTCAGCTAGAAGTGGTTGGGACTGATCCAGAAGTTATGGGGCAAAATAACTGAATGGCTGCTTTTATGCGGTAGAACAAATGAAATGCTGGTCTCTTAACCTCTTTTTTTTACCTGAGGAGGGTGGAATGTATGCCCATGGGCAGACATGGTAGACTGTAACTGGGTACTTTTTTTTTTTTTTCAGAGCTGTGCATTTGTGAGTAGAGCTATCATTCTGCCTCTCAAGTACCTGTTCAGCAAGGTACAGCAAACACCTGTTCAGCAAATCTTAAAATCCATTGTTTCATGTGAAAAACATTCAGTCCTTTGCTTCCAGCAGCAGCTGATGTAATAAGAGAGAATTGCCCACCCTTAGCTTATGGACCAGTTTGGCCACACAGCTTGCTGGGTAAGGACAGGCCAGCATGCTTACACTGGTGCCAGGAATATTGCTACTGATTGTGCTCACTGAACCATGTTATATCAGCTGCATCCATGTCAGAGGAGCATGTCCAAGACTAGTTACAGCTAACAAGGCTCTATTTGAGGGAAAAAAAAATGAGACCAGGGTGAGATTTATAGCACTTTCAAGTACAGAATAAGCAGTATGAATGGATGAGCCCCAAAGAATGGTAAGGTGCTCTTTACATACAAATATTTTCAATAGCAAAAAAAAATTTAAAAAAAAAAAAAAGTCAGAAAATAATAGAAGGAACTATAGCAAACACTTTTTGTAAGTAGATTAGTTCTGCATTTCCCATGGGATTCATTTGAATGGGGGAAGATAAAAAAAAAGCAAGATATGCTTGCAACATAGAATCCTGAAATCCTGAGTGCCAAGAACATGGTCCAGATTTCTTTAAAGATGCCTGGCTCTTATCTCAGGCCCAATTCATCACAGTTTACTCCCACAATTACTCAGAATTTTCAAGGACCTTGCTCCTATGGGGTTAATGGGTTACGTTCAGCATTGAAACCCACAACACAAATAGCTGCTTATTTATTCAGTCCAGACTGGGCTTAGTGGTTAATGGAAATAAAAATAGCAACAGTAACAATATTTGTGTTTCATAGGTGAAATTATTTTTTCTTTTAACTGCATAATCCAGGACTGTGCACAGGGAGGAGGGGGCCCATATAAAGGAGGAGTTGTTCTGCTTGTGACACAGAAGATTAGCATGCCCATGACTGAAGAGGAGGAAAAGAAAAACACTGCCATAAAAGTGACAGGAGAGGTGAAGAATTGCAGTGAATGTGTAATGCACCACTGAAAAGATGCAAAAGAAAACATACCAAACTGAAAGTCTTATCATATCTATCCTGATATTCCAAAGCAGGAATTAATTTGAAGGGAAGAAGCTGCTGTTCTCATTGGTTCACATCACTTGTTCTTAAACACAGGCAAGAAAAACGCTAAAGTGATATGATTACTGTAATTACTATCTTTGTTCAAAAAATGTGCTGGTGGTTTTCCACCCTGAGTTTTGTTCAAGCAGCCATTGTGGCTAGCACCAATCAGGAGCTAATGGCATGTACCTCAGCTACTCTAGGAGCAAACACAGTAAATCTTGCGTTTCAAATGCACCAGCAACATAAGATGTCAAACATATTACAAACACAGGAGCACCTAGAGGTATTAACCAGTGCTCCTCTTAGAAGGAATTTATGTGTAGCTGACCAAAGATACAGTGTCAAACCAATCCTGGCAAACATGCCACTTCAATAGTAGACAAAACCAATTTAGAACAATGGGTCTAAATGTAGTGTTTCTGCAAAGGGTCAGGCTTCATATTTAATTAATTAATCTCTGTTTTGAATGCATGTTGTGACAGTAGGGTGGAAATAAGTAGGCCAAAGAAAGAAACAGGATCATTTTAAGCCCAAATCATCACAAAACGCAACACTGCTGTGTAAAGAGGCTATCAAATTAAGGTAATTGTTGCCAAGACCCATGAGCTTCCTGTTCTGCTGTGGTTGCCCACAAGATGAGCTACAGTCAGGGCTCTCCTGGCCAGAGAAGGTTGCAAAGGCCTGGTTAAGCAGGTATCTGTTTGAGTTTGGACAAGGCTTAAAGCAAAGGAGGCAAAATGACTTGTTCAGTTGATGACACTTAACAGTCATGATCACTAGTCTCTTGCCTTCTCACTCTGATTTGCTGTGGTAACTGGTATGCTGCAGTAGAAGGCAGGGGTTAAGCCAAAATATTTTTTAACTTTTTATTTAGCTTTAAAAAAAAATTTCACCTGTAAAGTACATAAGCCACAGTTATTTAAAAGACTAAGTTTGGATTCAAGTTCTGAGTCACCTCCAGTTTTCTATTCCTTCTTCGTGTTCCCCCTCTCTTTTTTTTTTTTTTCATCATATCATTGAAAAAGAGGGGAGCAAAAGGGGGGTGGGGGAGAGTAATGGAAAAAATGCTATAATATCCATGTACTTCTTTTTGTCTCTTTCTTTAAACATTTTAAAAAGTTGGGGTTATTTCTTGAAGTTTTTAAAAACATAGAAAAAAATTTGGATTGTATACCTTGCTTTTTTCAGCACGGTATTTCATACTGCTCACTGGTCAGATGAAGGCTAATACTTGGATAAATTGGGAATCAAACAACAGTGCTGTGTTCTTTGTAGAATTAACATAAAGACTTCATTGCCAATCTTATACTGAAGGAAAGCTACAGTGTGATCATTGTGTTTGGCATAGAAAGTAAAAGGTTTCAGCCTATGTGCCGCTAGAAGTAAGGGATTGTTCTGCAAGTGACTGTGGAGGAAAGGGCGTTTTGTGCTTGTGTCACAGAAGGAAAAGGATTACTGTGCAAATGATGCTCAAGGAAAAGGATTGGACCCCTTATGACACAGAGAAAAGAGGTCATTGCACATACGTCACAGAAGGAGCAGCATATCACACAGGATGGAAAGGATTCTTTGAAAGTCAGAAAGAAAATTAAAAAGAGAAAGAAGGACTACAATTGTGCAAGTGTGGCTTGGAGACAAGGTTTCTCATGAGCAACAATAAGTAAAGAAAGAAATGGCTGTATTCCTAAGAAAATAAGTAAAGCTTATTCTACAACAAAGCCCTAAATTTTTCAGACAAAACAGAGCACTATGCTACTCATTAGTTTACCATTTTCACAAATACTTTGAGCTATAATTGAATAATGCTATCTCAGAGAGATACTTTGTCATCTTGACCTCAACTCACCTACAGACAAGGAGCTGGCTCCCTCTTAGATATTTTTTTTTCCTTATCCCTCTAATGAAAAGTAAGTGCCTCACAAATCACCATATCCTTTCCAAGAAATAAGAATATTGTTCCCAGAGTGAACCACAGGTGAGATTGGGTGCAGCATGCAAGCACTGCAGGTCTGCTTGGGCATCCAGACTTTTCTTTTTAGTTAGGAATCCCTGTCTCCCAGCTCTAAGATAGATGGTTCTTATATACGTATGAATAGAGAAGCAGTGCAAGCCTAGGCAGAAGATATTTTTGTTGCTGTTTCCTTCAAAACAAAATAAAATTTTAAAATATCTTGCTCCATAAGAAAAATATGTATGAAACAAAACGTTTTCACTTTCCTTGTGAT